TACTAGGACTTTAGACTATAGCTACCTTTCTGAAAAACCTCTGCATCTGTGCTGATGTTCCTTGGGACGAGGGCGTGAGTGCCACTTTGAAGCCAAATTATCAGATCTATGGAATAACGAAAATATTAATCATAAACCAAAAATGAAAATGACAATAATGATAATGATAACAGTAATAATAGTAGTAATAATAATAAGAATATGTCTGAAGCACTGCGAGAGTAGTTGTTTCAACAGGATTCCAGTTGGATATGCCGCCCTGCTGTCCTTGGCGACTATCGCGCTTGCCACAGCCCGCGACCAAGGGTTTAGGGGTTAGGTACCGTGTTGCACTGCACAAAGCGCCAAGATTGAGGCGAACCGTGTCATGTACAAAGTAGCGCTGGTTCCTTTGGGGAACTACGTTTTCTTCTTGGCTCAATTCACAACCTTCGGCTCCTTGATCGTTCATTAATGAATTTCAGGTTCAAATTCACATCATCTAACTTATTATAATATAGTAGTCTCCATTTNNTCTTTTCCATTATCCCTACGTAACCAATTTCCTTCAGTTTCAGAAAGCTTTCCAGATCAGGGGACATGCAGAGAGGGATAGTTTAAGCTGAGAGACCTGTGAATAAGCTATTAAGGAGAGTTGGGGAGCCTCTTTGAAATCTGCATGTTTCTCAAGATGGCATAACCCCCCTCTCATAATTCCGCCTAGAGTTTCTAAGGCTACTCCCATTTTGAAAGACCCTCATCTCAGGCTATGTTTTTGCCTACTGGGTCGCCTTGATCCTCAACAGGGCTAACGGCAGCTTGGTTGAGGTTGGCACTGCCTGTTGGCTGGGCCTTTCTGGCCCTTGAATGTATCTGGCTGCTTACTCCAAATTGTATGCTTCAGTGCTAGACCTCCAAGATCACCAGTCTAAGGCAACGTCACAGATCAGCAGGTGGACTTTGCGCGAAAGCGCTGGGATACATTTGCCCGAATAGGCAGGCACCACCTGGTTTTGAAGTGCTCTGCTTCGCTGCAACTCAACCCGCGGGATGTAATATTGGGTTTATATAGGGGTTCTA